GATAGTAATATCTAACAGTATAATTAATATCATTTAATAAATACGAAACAATTTATTATATTGTCTTATATTCATATAATAATAGTAATAATAATAGTGAATGGTGATAAATAAACTTCACTTGATCAGCCAATTATTTAGTCCAAAAAAAACAACTTGTGTTGTCAACTCAATTTGACTTGGTTACAAATGCGAGACTAGAATAGTTTGTTACAAAACAGATTAATTAATCTAGACTAGGTAAATTATGATTAGCTATGGAATTCAGAACACTTGATAGAGTTAATGTTCACTTCTAGATTTGAATATAGTATTTTTCATTATAAACAAAAACATGTTTCCCACTGTATTATGAGTATGATGTTTATTGAATTATTAATATAGACTTGAATTATTCCGTTATTGCTAATCATGACTGAATTTGGATCAGTCTTTTTTTGACGTATGTGTGTCCTGTGAAGACTCTCTCGACATAATCATCTTATTATAAACTATTTAGAAAACACAAATTGTGGTTATTTGTATTTAGTAGCTAGGTGGATAAAGAGTTAAGTGTTTAAACTGAAAGGTATTGCATTCGAGTTCCAATATATCCACTTGACAAGTTTTGAATAGGATGAAACGCATATCTTGAATTCCACTCCCAGCCATATTCCACCTATCCTATATACAAATGTGAAATAATGACTATATCAAGTGAATCTGCTCAAGATACACATATCTCAACTAAGATTGATCAAAATCTAGTCAAAATATCACTAAAGAATTCATGAGAACTCATCAACTTTCCTTAATAAGTACTTCATATTTAATCTGAGTTGAATTATAATTCGAAAGCATTCATAGTTAAATATTAACAATCTATTTATATCCTTAACTTTTAAAAATTATTAAACAAATTTAACATATTCTCAAAGTTGAGTTCACTAGTCAATCTAAGCTAGACCATCACTGAAAACCTGGAAGCATTGGACAGCCGTTTTGTTCCAGTATGGGACTTCTGAACAGTACATATCCATAATCCCACACACACCAATCGGACCCATACCCCTTAGTCTTATGAGTGAACGTTTAACCTCTAGATCACTGAGCTGGTGCTTGATAGTGTTTATGTCTAACTTTAATTGATCCATGATATTGCGAAACCCTTCATCCATTGTCTGAGGTGAATAATTGTCTCACACCTAATATGGAATGCACTCCACTGGTCACGACTTCATATATTTGATAGATGAGGGAATAGTTTAAAAAAGAAAAAGTAATTGTCTGTAGACTTCTAGGAATGAACAGAATTTCTGATGAATTACAGTGATTCCGTTTCAAAGTGACTTTCATACATATAAAAAGCTTTTCATTTATTGAATGGTTATATTAAACATTGGTAACATAAAATATTATTAATAATACCTTCGAAAACTTCTGTAAAACATTCATTCTTGAAATAAGAAACTTCATTCACTTTAAATGTCTGTAATGATATATTCACTATGTTGGGAATCGGAGGCAGATATGAAAAGGATGAATAACAACTGGAAAGAATTGGAAAGGACTGCCTAAGACAAAGTTGGATGGAGAGTGCTGGTGGGTGGCCTTTATTTCTCCACGAAGGGTAACAGGCATAAGTAGGTAATGATAAATTACTTTGTTGGTTAGATACAGAGACAAGTTTTGTTTTCGTGTGTTCAAATCTTTCCTTAATTTATATCTATATAATCAACTGAGTTTAGAATAAAACAGTAAACCCTCAACGATATTAAAAACAGTTCATATTATATCATCATATGACTGGATTGGAAGAAAAATGAAATATTAGATTCCGATTTATTAATTTGAAGGTGTCATTCACACCATAAAGCCTAATAGTTTTGCTCTTGATTGAATTTGTAACCAGTGATGCAATGAAGTGCTATCATTATGATTAGTTTTATCACTACACTCATATAGATGCGAAGGTTAGTTTATTTGAATGGATTTGTATAGAATGCTTTAAGTTACCTGTGTCAGATTGTTCTTAGTTGCAGTACCAATTTTGGATTCAAAACTATAGTGAATAACTGTTCAGTGCTCACTGGTTTTCAGCAGTACCTCAACTAAGATCATTCTTCCTAATAATTTACTAGTATTTGTATGTATTCGTGTGTATATGTCTTGTTTTTGATGTCAAAACTTGTTTTGTTCAAGGCGCAAAGATGGAAGAATAGTTAGTTATCAGAAGATCAATCCATTATTCCACGAATAACTGAAGGAATTAATTTCGAAGTGTTCAACCCATTATCAATGTAACTATCCGGCATTATTTGACAACAAAAATGTTATAAATGGATATATTCTAAATTATATATTGAATGACTGAAGAAAATTATTTGAAAACTTTCTTTCAACTTATGTTTCTTTCAGATAGATACATTTACAATACTGAAAAGAACAATACCTACAGTATTCAATCAATGATCCGTTATAGTAGGCTGCAATGAAATAACCCAAAAGTTTTGATTTTTTTTCTAAAACAGTGCTCATCCACGACCCCGCCTCACGAGATTTGGACCTATTACTCTACTGATTTGTAAGAATTCCTGTTTTCCGTAACCGAAATCGAGAAATGCAAATATTCATCCTGAACAGATTACATCATTATTGATATATAATCACAAGTGTCTAATAAAGTTGAACAGTAGCTAGAAATGAAATTCGGACTTCAGGTATCAATTTATTTGAGATTATTGATCAAGATCATGAAACGATTGATGTTAGACCACCATCGAAAACCTGGAAGCACTGGATGGCCGTTTTGTCCTATTATGGGATTTGTTAACGTTAGACATTAACACTGTTGAATGCCGGTTCAGTGGTCTATTAGATTGGGCGTTCGTGCGCGAGACTATAAGCCCTGGGTTTGAATCCCGAGAGCGAGATCATGGACGCGCACTGCGGAAGAGCCCCACAGTAGGATGAAACGGCTGCCCAATACTTCCAGGTGTTCAGTAGTGGTCCAATATCAATCGATTCATGATCTCAACCAATAACTTAATAATCTCCACAACCCTATACTGATTATTTAAGATTCTTCATCTAGATGAATCTACATCCTAGTTCTTATGTTCAAATTGAAACTCAAACCCAATAACTTTAACTCTGTTTCTATTCATTTCAAAGATATAACACACATATCAAAAACAAAGTTCAATAATTAGTGAAATAGTGTTTTATTACCGTTTGTTCAATAACACAAACAAACAAAAACGATTTTTTATTTTTATGTAACATATTTGCATCACAATATAACGTTTGTATAATATTGACTCTTTTCGCTGAGTATATGAATAATAATAAGAATAGTAGTAATAATTATGATAGTAACAGTAATCATGAATAAGATTGATGAAGAAATGACCCCCCCCAAATAATTTCAATGAATAATGTTTTAAAAGAGGAAAAAAGAAATTACTCAATTCACATTAGCAACAAATACAAAGAAAGAAACAGAGAGAAGGGGAGGGGAGAGGGGGGAGAGAAAAAGTTTTTTTGTGAAACAATCTATACAAACATTGAATAATCAAATATGTATGTCTATATATGGTAGAATAAAATATTATATACATGATAGAACATAAGTAAATTTGGAATTCTTCGTGTTGCGATGTATAATAAATATCACTTATCATTATTATTATTATTTTATTTTTAAAAATAAAAGTCACCTAATTATCAAGATTATAAAAGTGATAGGATACTACTATTATGTTAAATTCAGTAGTATTCACTTATATAAGTACTACATGGTCAAATAAATCCCATTGGTTTATGATTATTATTATTTGTTTCTACATAGACAACATGAAAATAAATTAGTTTTTAGTTGAGGAAAAACAAGAATTTTTCAACTTATACAAAATAAATGAAAATTATATTGATTTGTAAGAAAATGAATAGATATACCACTCTACTACGACTACTCATCATCATCATCATCATCATCGTCGTCGTCGTCGTCATCATCATCATCACCATTGATTGTCTTAATCCAAAGAAAAAGAACATCAGAATTTTAACCAACTCGACTTTCATTCTTTCTATTTAACAATTGATGATATTATGTGTGTGTGTGTTACAGATTTATCGTTTAGCCTCATTTTCATTTATTTATTAATTTTTAATATTGATGGATCGAAATAATCGAATTTTTGTTGTTGTTGTTGTTGCTATTGTTGCTGCTGATTTCCATAAATTTTGTTTTGATTCCGTTGGATTTTAGTGGAAACAATGATTACACTTATAAAGATTATCAATTGAATAGTTAGTTTTGGTAGAGACACACCTCAATTAAATTGAATTGTGTTCATGTATATATCTATATCTATATATAAAGGATTGAAATGCAAACTAGTGGTCATTAGGTAATCGATTCTGTATATCCATCACTCATTCACTCTCTCTCTCTCCCTCTCTCTTTTCAATCTTCTTACTCTATAAAGTTCTCTATTGAAAATAATGAGTGAAATACTAATTCTACGTTGTTGTTTTGTTTTTTTGTTTTTAAAAATCCGCCCTGTTTCTATATCAATTATTCAAATAGTTTTGTTTCTTCTTTTATATGCTTAAAATTCTAATTGAATATAAAGTTAATTTATTGTCATTTTATTGAATGATAAAATTTCATTTTGTAGAAAGAACAAAATAAAGAAAGAAAACAAAAACAAAAACGAATATCAGAGTTATGTAACAGGATCATCATTTAAAGATCTTTTTTTTTTTCAATATTTAGATCATGTTAATGATAATCATTATGGATGGTGAGGATAATGAAAGAGCAAAATATTGATGATCTTATTAAATAAGTTCAAATGTACATCATTTCATTTATTATTCATTATTAGTATACAATTCATTGATATGGATAGTATTATTATAGTATATTAGATATAAGACCATGTACATATTATATAAGGGATAATTCTACAATTCACAACCAATCAATCAATTAATGAAAGGGGATATAATTTTCATGGAAATACTCTTAAATCAGAATGATTTGATTGATTTTGTTGTTGATGTTTTATAGTATCCATTGTTTGATTTATATGATAATTATTTAAATATAATCCATTTTCAATAGGTCCTCTTGAATGTGGTGAAATGGATGAATCTAATGAATCAGTACAAAGTTTTAATTTATAATGATTTAATAAATCTGTACCATGAATTGATCGTTCTGATGATGAGGTTGATGATGATATAATCGTTGAATGATTTATAGAATCAATTAAATTATTATTAATACTACGATTATTATTATTGTTATTATTATTATCAATGGGATCAGATTCGATTTTATTCTTTTGATTATAATAGGAATGTGTGATACTAGCACCGCTACTACTACTACTACTACTGCTATTACTACTATTACTATTACAACTACCACCGACGATGCCATTGTTATTATTAGTATTATTATTACATCCCAGTCGTGTGATTGGTTGACAGTTATTGTATAGTGAAGCAGAATTAAAATTTATCGACCCACTTCCATCCAATTGATTTGGTGTAGATCGTAATTGTGCATGCCATTGTATTAATGCATCTGTCGGTGAATGATGATTATGATGATGATGATGATGAACGATATTTGATGGTTTCATATGTAATGATTCACATTTTGAATTATTACTAGTATTCTGATCATTATTCGTTGAATGATTATAAACTAATTCAGTAATATAATTAGATTTTTGATATCTTGAATATTTCTCATTCATTTGATTATTCATTAAATTAGATGTATGTTGTGTATAAGGATCATTTGTGAAATTCATTGAATTCATTGATTGGGATTGATGTTTCTGAATATATTGTTGTTGTAAGTGATCAATATGATGAGGGTGTATTTGTGTTGGATGAGGTGAATTAAGAGAGAAATGATTGGAATGTCTATTATCATCATTGTTATTATTATTATTAGTTAAACCTCCAAATGTAGCATGAAATGCTTTTGTCACATCAGTGAACTGTCCAGTTTCATCAGAACTATCCACTTCAATTCTTGACATATCTTTATGTTTTATTTCATTCAAAATATTATTATTATTATTAGTAGTAGTAGTATTGTTACTATTAATATTATTATCTGAGAAATAACCAGTTAAATATGGATTACACATTGAATTTGGTGAATTCGGTGTAATTGTTTGTGAACCACGTGTAGTACATGCAAAATGATTAGCAGCAACAGCTGCTGCTGCTGCTGCGGCACCAAATCGATGTAAAGGTGTTTTCATTAAATAATCCACTGGTAAATCAGATAATTCTGAATAGAAACCAAATTTATGCTTTTTTGTTTTTTGTGAAACTTTACGATTACGTGTTTGAATTCCATCTTTTTTCATTGAAATAGGTCGTTGAATCTTAAATAAATAATGAAGAAAGAAAACCAAAACAAAAAAGTTAAATATAGAAAAGTATTATCAAAATTTAGGTTCTGATGGAATTGAATTGTTTGATTCTGTATTTTATAATACAGTAGATTTCGATAGTCAAAATCATGAGTTAGTTGAAGCTAGACTACCATGGAAAACCTGGAAGCACCGAACGGCCGTTTCGTCCCAGTATGGGACTCCTCAGCAGTGTGTATCCACGATCCCAACCCTCGCGAGATTCGAACCCAGGACCTATCAGTCTTGTGCGTAAGCGCTTAACCATTAGACCACTGAACCGGCCGGTATCCAACTGTGTTAATGTCTAATTTCAACTAATCCACGAAATTGCGCCACCGTACATCATAGTCATCAGTGAGTTACTATCTCACAACAGACCTGGTTGAACTCCACTAGTAAAGGCTTCTCACTAGAACTCCAGGAAATGCTTCTCGAAGTCACTCACTAGTGAGCAGATTATTATTATCAGAAGGGGTTCTGTGGAGATTTTAGAAATTTCAATAGTTGAAATCATGAGTTAATTGAAGCTCGACCACCACAGTAGATAATTCGGTGAAGAAAAAAAAGTTCTAATTGTCACTTTGCGTATAACTTCACCTATAGTTCATCTAAAGTCACTGTTGGTGCCAAGCCTAATTAAAGGAGGTGGTTTGAACATGAGGTCGTAGAAAAAAATCTTGCTAAAAAAACACCAACCAGATTAAACACTGTCAATTACTGTTAGAAATTTAATATTACATTTACGTAATAAGCCTTAAACATAACTGTAGAGATAGTTTCATTTGTTATCCATGATTTATCAAAGGAATTATATTTACCAGGAATAATCTAATTACGTAATGTAAATTATCTTTATAGTTATTTGTTACTCCTATCATGTCTAAGTGATCGATGAACTTACAAACTAGATAGTGTAAACCGTAATTATTAAATTAGCCACAAACTGACTTCAGTTAAAGAACCGTTAAAAACCACAAAATACTGATCAGGTAATTTTTTCTTGTTATGGGACTAATTTCTCAGTAGTTCATATTCACAACTTTGTTAGGATTGTACTTCTGAGGAACCCAATCCTAGAGTAAGACATTTATCCAAAGCACTCTTGGTTTTAAGCAAGTTTCTAAATGAAGTTATTTTACAATATAAAACTATGGTGTGTGCTACTGATTTCGATAGATATAAGTAATATATATCGTTAATTGAGAATGAAATGCGTGGAGACAGAAGGTTAAGAAGGTCAAAGAAATAAGAACAAGCACAAGGAATGCCTAGTTTCGAAGCGAAAGAACAATGAAGTCTAAAAACGTTCGACTGATATTTTATACACATAGTTCCCTTTATCATTTTGAAAAGAGCAATAACAAAGATCCTAGCAGAATAGCATGAATTCATTCTTGTCAGCTGCTTACAACCTGAGATATTTAAAATTATAATTACATAATGGGTTTAAATTATTTACATGGAAGGGTTTAGTTGGAATTTATATCGAAGACCCATTGGTATAGTATAGTAAGGATGTAAATATATTTACTAGACTGAATATTGAAGATATATATTCTTTATGTGAAAGAACATTCTACAACATTGATTGTGACAACAGTTCAAATGGACAGAAACAAGTGTTTAGATAATGAGCAAACATTGATAGGAATATAGTGAGTAGAGCTTAGTTGATAAAACAAGATTATTAATTTGAAAGATAGAAACAGTGAAGTTTGAGACAATCGAGTGACATTTTGCAAATGAAGTATTCACTGTATGGTTCTTTGAATTTAACAAAATGTTCTGTAAGTTTGTGTTCAAATACATTCGACGTTCCCATTGGTGTTCTCATTCACTACAAAACTACCAATTCAACAATCTGCATAACCCGTTATTATACAGAATATCATGTAATTAATTCCATTCAATCAAACCCTACTATATAAGAAATGAATGTTTATTTATCAATGAATTATTATAGACATGAATGAGTTGATATTGATTCTTTCTTCTCTTGTTCTTTTCTCTCTGATGAAACACCGGTCTTATAATTATCATAAAGAAATATCTGAACATGATAAATTCTTTTCGTTTTTTTTCTCTTTTTTTTAGAAAACCGGAAAACGATGTCTTTCTATGCGTATCCTAGAAATATGTTCAATAGTTAAAAGTTGTCAGAGGATAGTTAATGATTTAATTTTTCCCCTTTCAGTTCTTTTTTCTCGTTTTATGTTGTTGTTGTTGTTGAATAAAATGAATGTAAAATAATCATCAAGGATAGGAGGAAAAAAGCTTTTTTTCTTCTTCTGTAAATAGAATTGAAATACCGGAATAAATTTATTGACTCATTCTTGTACTCTGACTAACTAAATCTATCTACTTATATATACCGTTTACATAAATAGAGAAAGGGGAACTTTGCAACTGTATCTTATATGAATATATCTTATCATTGTTTTTTTTTTGTGTGTGGTGAGTCTATTCATATTTAAGTTAACGAAATAAGGATTTTGGCGCCATATCTTGTCATTAACCCCAATATCTTTAAAACATGACAACCATAGACAAGAGAATCAGTACTCATAGTAGTAATAGTATTATTAACAATAATAATAATAACAATAAAATAAACCCACAATTTCAACAAAAGATGAAAATGAGATTAACATTCACTATATCAATCTGTTGACACATTAATAAAATTATAATATATCTATATATACCCGTTTAATTTGCCTCTGATTAATTTTATTCAATCACTGACGAACAGACAGAGAGAGAGAAGGGGGAAGAGGTAAGGGGGTGGAGAGACAAATCAAACAAGGGAAAATATGTTTACTTTTTTTTTATATATTTTTTTTTAAAAAAAAAGAAAAGAAAATACTACTCTCGAACTATTAAACAGTGAAACATATGCCAAAGTGTTGAAGTGATTTGTTTATTGTTGTGTTTCCCATTGAAAGAAAAAAAGAAAAAAAAAGTTTATTATTTTGTTTTTTTTTTATAGAGAAAAAAACTCCATTCTGAATATTGTGATAAGCGTAACAATGATGAGAACAAAATAAACAAAAAAGAAAGAAAAGAAAACAAGCGATAAATATATCGACATTTTTGTTCATTTAATATAAAATGACTGATTTATAAATATCCATTAGGTTTTATACTATGAAAACAAAACTTCATCTAAATTATTCACCTGAGCTACCTGACCTTCTTCATCATGTCAAATATCCCTTTAAAATAAATTTTATAACTGAGTAATTATAATTAGTTTTTGATTGAGATCATGAATTGATTGATGTTAAATCACCATTAAAAACTTGGAAGCACTGGATGGCTATATTGTCTTCTTGTGGGACTCCACAGTTGTGCTCATCTACAATTCCGCTCGCGAGATTACAATCCAGGACTCATAGTCTCGCGTTTGAACGCTTGATCTCTAGACCATTGAGTTGGCATTTAACGGTGTTAATGTTTAACCTCAATCAATCCACGAAATTGCGTGATTATCTTCTATTGTATTGAAGTAGATACCTGTCCCTATTCGATACAGATTAGCTCCACTGGTCATACCTTCTCACTAGAGCTCCAAGAATTCCCTCTCAAAGCTAGTCACTAGTAAGCACATAGTAATTATCAGTATGCGGCTGTGGAGATAAGTTTTTGATTGAGATCATGAATCGATTGGTGTTTGACCAGCATTGAAAATATTGTTTAGTATTTGTATTTAAATTAATTGTAATACAATGAGTTCATGATCTCAATCAATAACTTAATAATCTCCACAACCCTATACAGATAATAATTATTCAATTAAAAATAAACCTTGTAAGATTAGTTTATTTAATAGTTGAATTTATAAGTCAATTGAAGGGAGAACATCATGGAAAACTTGAAAGCACTTGACGGCTGTTTCGTCCTAGTATGGGACTCCTCAGTAAAAACATTTTTTAAGAAGTGAATTAATTTTCTAAGAAGATAGAGATGAGTTTTGTGAAAGTTTTGGTAGGTGACAACAGTGATGATAACTAGTTTTTGTATTAAATTACAAACTGAATCAAACTAAAAAAACCATTTAGGCTATTATTAGATTTTAACAGTTAAACTCATGAATCGATCAAAGCTATAATTCAGCTGTTAAAATTACTAAAATCTCCACAAAATCCCCATTCTGATAATAATTATATGATTAATGTTGACTAGCCTCAAGATTGACTTCCTAGAGTTTTAATAAGAGAACATGTTCAGTGGAGTCCAATCCGTGTCAGGTGTGAAACAGTCATCTACCTCAGACCATGAATGTAGGTTTGTACAAGATCCTGGATCGATTAAAGTTAGACATTAACACCATTAAGTCTAAACTTTTAGCTTTCGCGCACGAGATTGAAGGTCATTGGTTCGATTGGTGTGTGTGGGATGGTCGATTTGTTTAAATAAAAATTAACTATGATAGACCATGTAAAACAAATAGTTGACTTTCATGAAATTACAAAGACTTTTTACGTAATCGTTTAAAGAAGTTTATTTTCAGATATTTATTCCTTTTGAATGTAATGAATATAGTTATCCATAACCATTCTAGATTGATAAAATAGTCTGGTCTCATTTCAAATAAATTATATAATCGATATTGTTTAAAATCACAAGTATTCTAAACAAAGATGGATAGTGGTTAACAGTGGAATTTATAACATGCGTCTCATCCTATTCACGGTTCTTCAGTTGAGTGTACTTACATTCCAGATATGATCTTCATTTCAGGGCTCGAACCTACTATCGTTCACTTCGTTATCCATTTAGCTACTAAGTCCTGATAGCCACGAATCTCAAAGAGAACAATACGTGCATCGTGAATTCCACTGCTAGCTACTATCTATCTTTACTTATAAATTGAGATCACTTTGATTTCATTGCATTTATGTTTCAAAATTATAATATACATTCATATATCAGAATATGTTTTGTGGAGAGTTTAAGAAATTTCACAA